AGTGGAAAAAAGCCTCCTTACACTGGTGATCAGTGTATAAGTCACCCATTATATTGAATGTCACACAGAAATTGTCCCCTTTCAATGGTAGTCATTGTAGTCATCCTGGTTGAGAGTGAGATAGAAAAAAGCTGAAATGCTATGTTGTATTCCACACTCCTATTATACAGCCAGTCCTATGAAGTGCTTCTCTTCTCCCTTTATGCAGTCGCAGCTACCCCAGTATTATCATATACATTGCATGACCAGCAGTCTGGCATGACATGTAAGTATGTAGAAGGGCCTTCCAAATTGCTGGAGTACAGGAAAATACTGTCTGATGGAGGAGCAAAGAATTTGCCAAACATATCAGCGTATGCCTTACCCCCTGAGACTAAATGAGCATTTAACCATTACTTTTAGTTTTGCTGGCACTGTATACTTATTTTTTTTTCAAGAGAAATAGCCATTGCGGACCTCCTTCTGAAAATATTGCATACTTATTGCAGGTCAGTGAAAAATAGTACTGATGTGAGATGGTCTGCAGGACAGTCAGAACATTGTCACCAATACTTACTGTAATTTTCCTTTCCTGGTCAGTCTTCACGTCAGCACACCTGGGTTTACTTATCTTCTGAACCCTCAGGACCACCTTCCCAAGCAGAGATAAAAGAGAGACCCTTCCATTCCCACCTGTTCTCTGTAGCAACAACAGGTCACTCTGTTTGTAGCGACAACAGGTCCCTAGGGAGGGAAGAAAAAAGTTGTGCTGACATGAGGACCGACCAGGAAAGGAAAATTACAGTAAGTATTGGTGACAATTTTCCGTATTCCTGGCCAGCCTCACGTCAGCACACCTGGGATATACCATAGCTAATTCAGTGTTGGACACAACAACAATAAAAGAAAATCAATACATCTAGCTACTTCATGCAGATTCTTGTATTTAGTCTGAAAAGGTGCTGACATAACCGCCGCTCCAAACTTAGTCGAACTTAGGTCCAATTTATAGTGTCTGGCAAAGGTCTCACAGGAGCTCCAGCGTATCAACTGATACGCTCGCGAGCGCCGCCCATGAGGCTGCCATCCCTCTTGTTGAGTGAGCCCTTACCATCTGTGAAGGAGCAAGGCCCTGTTGTCTATATGCTAGACTGATCATCTTGGTGATCCAGGTGGCTGTTATTCTTGCCGCAGCCCTTTCTGGGTCCCGCTGGTAAAATTAATAAGTTATGCAAGATTACGTGTCTGTTTGGGAGCGAAGAAGATAGGTTGTAATCAAAGCGACCATGTCCAGTGGTCTAAGGTCTAGGTCATTTGCCTGGTCTGGTGGCTGCGTGAAACTTGGCAAGACAGACTCCCAGTCTATGTGGAATTTTGAGGCCACCTTGGACGTTAAGGCTGGTGAAGGCCACAAAATAACCTTATCTGCCAACACAATGCAGAATGGGTCTCTGAAGGATAGAGCTGCTAGCTCCGACATTCTTCTCACCAATGTAATAGCTGTGAAAAAGGTTAACTTGACTGTTAGAAACCATAATGGGCATGAATCTGTTGAAACAAAAGGTGGCTGGAGCAGAGCCCTTAGCACTATGCCCAAGAGGTTCTTTCTAGGCAGCGGTATTCTTATTGCTACCCTAAGAAATTGTTTTAACAAGGGCTCATCTGCCCATTTGAGGCCTGTAAATGACGATATTACTGAAATTTGTTTGTACGTTGATTTTGTTGTAGGCTAGGCCTTTATCCAGTGCGGACTGAAAAACTCTAGCACATTTGAGACACTTGGAGTAGGTGGGGGAAATTTCCATTGTACAGCAAAGGATATACATTTTTCCCATATTCTGGAGTATGTAACATTTGTATGGGGTCTTCTTGCCTTTAACAGTGTAGAAATGACCTCTTCCAAAGGGCCCTGCGACTGTAGTCTAGCCAATTCAAGAGCCATGCCGCAAGCTGCAATCTCCCCAGATTGTTTCAGTAAATCTTTCCTTGAGGGCAGAGGTACTGGCGGGGCTGACACCATCTGTAGCAGCAGTGGGAACCATGGTCTCCGAGGCCAAAAAGGCAGAATCAGGATGGCACGGACCTCTTCCTTCGTGATCTTCAATAAGGTCCTCATGATCAATTGGACTGGAGGGAAAAGTTACCCTAAGGGAAAGCTCCATGGGATGAAAAATGGATCCTATACTATTGCTCTGTTGTCCCTGAATCTTGTGACAAATTTTGCCAATTGTGCTTTCTCTGGGGTTGCCATCAGTTCTACGTATGGCATCCCCCAGTTGGAAAAGATTGGCTCCAAGTAGCGCCTGTTGATTGCCCATTTGCTGTTGGTCAGGAATCTCCGACTTGGCTGATATGCAATGCAGTTTTGTTTGCCTGCAATATAGGCCGGTGTTAAGGCTGTCACATGTCTCTTGGTCCAAGAAAAGATCTGGGTTGTTAGCTGTAATAACAGCAGGCTCTTGGTTCCTCTTTGTCGGACTGTATAGGTGACGGCTGTCTGGTTGTCCATCCTTAGTTGACTCGGACTCCATGAATTAAGTCTTCGAAAGCCAATAGGGCAACTCCAGAAGGTTGGAGTGTGTGGCTTCTGTTGTGTGCCATCTTCCCTGCACCTGTCTGCTGAGGCAGTGAGTGCCCAGCCCTGGAGACTGGCATCTGAGGTGACCAAAATCCAGCCATCTGGGCTGAGGGGCATGCCCTGTGACAGTAGCTGGTGTCATGCATCATGCTAAGTTTTGGCACATCCATGCTGGTACCCGAATTCTTTGGGCTAGCGAAATGCCATCCCACTGGCTTAGAAAAGACATCTGAAAAGCCCTAGTTTGAAATCTTGCCCAGGGCACTGCAGGTGTTGCTGCCGTGAACATCGCCAGGAGCGTCATGCAGTCTCTTGCCGAGAGTGCCGCCGAACTCATCACGCTGTTGATGCAAGCTATTAATTCGGCTATCTTGTGGTCGGGCAGGAAGATTTGGCCTTTGCGTGAGTTGAATATTAGTCCAAGGTATTCCATCTTCTGGGTTGGAACCAGCTGGCTCTTCTGAGTGTTTATTAGCCATCCGATGTCGGGACAGGATTCTCAACACCAGTTTGCGCTGATGCGCCAGTTCCTTTCTTGATTGGGTCACCACTAAGATATCGTCCAAATAGTGGAAGATTCTTACTTTCTTTAAATGAATGACTGCAATGGTGGCTAGTAGAATTTTGGAGAAAATTCGAGGAGCTGTACTGATCCCGAAGAGCAAGCATCTGATTGTGATTTACACACACACACACACTCTCACACATTCAGACACATATACGCACACACACACACATAGACACACACACTCTCAGATACATACACACAATCAGACACATACACACACACACATGCTCAGACACATACACGCATACACTCAAATACACATACACACACATACACACACTCAGACACATACATACACACACTCAGACACATACACACACATATACACACTCAGACACATACACGCACATGCGGTCAGACACATACACAGACACACTCTGAGATACATATACACACTCAGACACATACACACACACACTCAGACACATACACACACAGACACGCTCAGACACATACACGCATATACTCAGACATATACACACATATACACACACTCAGACACATACACACACTCAACACACACACACAGACAAGCTCAGACACGTACACGCATACACTCAGACATATCACACACACAGACATACATACACTACAGAATATACACATACACACAGACACATACATGCGGTCAGACACATACACGCATACACTCAGACATATACACACACACATACACACACTCAGACACATACACACAGATACACACACTCAGACACATACACACACACATGCGGTCAGACACATACACGCATACACTCAGACATATACACACACACACATACACATACACACACTCAGACACATACACACACAGACACGCTCAAACACATACAAGCATACACTCAGACACACACAGACACGCTCAGACACATACACGCATACACTCAGACATATACACATACACACACTCAGACACATACACACACACTCAGACACATACACACACACATGCGGTCAGACACATACACGCATACACTCAGACACACACACACAAAGTTTTCACAGTGCAGCTGCAGGGGAATACTTACAGTGTGTCCGCGCAGGCTGCCAGTGCGGAGGAGCTTCTGCCTATGTGGATTCCCTGCCCCGTCCTTCCTCTGCTCTCATATACAGATCGATGTGTAGAGCAGGGAGGGTTCTGAGCGGCTGCCAAGGTGAGCTCCTTACAAGCTGTCACTTGTAAATAGGTGAGCAGTGCAGGAGGTGGCAGAAGGCTGAAAACAAACCATTGGGCAGCTGCCCCTTTTGCCCTGTGTTAAAGACGGCCCTGATTAAGATAAAAAACCTTAGCCTTTACAACCACTTTGAGTATGCAGCTGGTTGAAATCAGAATTTCTCATCTCTTTACTTGGTCCAAGTCAGCAAATCAAAGAGCAGTAAAGCCAAAACAACAGCATGATGGCCAGGCAAGCAGCATTATCAGGAGAGGTTACCAATAGCAGCCTGCCGATTTTGGACATGAAAAGTTTCCGTTAAAGCAAAGCAAGCGTGGTTTACAATGCCATTATCAGAAGATACCAAGTACACCTTATAATAGAGCTGGTAGACTTTTATTATTTACACAGTTCACAAAAAAACAGCGTTATAATGATGTAAAAAAATAACGGCGTCTGCAACGGAGTTAAAAATAAAAAAGATGGAAATCACTAATAAAATGATAAACTTTATTGGTCCGTCCAACCATAAGCAATAAATTAGAGATTTTTAATATATATATTTTTTGCAGATAATTTTTAGCAGGTGGGTCTCATCTTGACTCCTCGTTTATTGATGAACTACAGTTTGTTCAGCCCTTGGCCTGTTGAGCTGGGAGCTGTAGTCCAACAACAGATGCAGTTGAAGATGGAGCCCCTTGCTCTCTCTTTACATATATATTTATATATATATATATATATCTCTATCTCTGTGCATGCTATGAAAATATTGAGCTCTGTTTATGGCTTGAAGGCAGACTGTAGCTCCTTGAAAGCAGCTTTCCTCTGTTCTTTTTCTTCTGCTTGTCTCTTTTTTTTCTTCCTGCTCTGCTTTGATCTCTTGCTCGAATCGGCTGCCATGATTAATGGCCTGTACCTGGAAGTTTGGAAAATGCACAATTTTAGAGGGATGGCGCCTGTTTAGGAGATCAGGTGGGGTCTGCAGGGTACGCCAGGCCTTGCCACTTCCCAGACAACAAATACAGAAGAGATGCATTCAATTAATTCTCTTAATCCTTTCTTGCCCAGCCCTGGCATTCCTTTAAGTGGGTTAGACTTTCCTAATCACATGACCACTATGATTGATCGTCACATGTGTAATGGTCATGCGTACTGGGCATGAGAATAGCTGTGTGTGTTGCAGCCATTTTGTCATGTCACAAATCTCCTAAGCCATCTTGTCTTAAGAAGGCATAGCCCACTGACCTTTTTGCCCCTCCGTCCTTCAGTTTATACAACACACAAACTGTTAACTGATGCCAGGGCCTTGTGATCTCAACTTAGGGACAGCAGATACCAGCACATAGGCCTTTTTCAAAGCTGTAAACTGCTAATTGAGACCTGGCAAGATGCTTGTTTCTACAGACTATAAAAAACTCTACAGATTAACACTTCCCTCTGATCAATTGTAAAACAGTTTTATAACTTAACAAAATCCAACAGGACCAAGACACATTAAAATTAAGTATATATTTGAATGGGGAATATCATAACGAACAAATGAAGGTCATGCATGACTAAGCTAGCACATACAAATAGAGAAAAAGCAGTCTCCTATCTCCTGGGTGACAGACCCATTCAAAAAACTCTGTGTTTGGTATCTCTGGGCATGAAATACAAATGCTGAACAATAATCTACCAGTTTCCAGAATGCAACCTGTACATAGTGGAAGATATTAAAATTGGTATAAATATTGTATTTGGGACTTGGTCGTAAACTTGGTGACCTCCCAGCACCCACCCCTTACACAGAAAGACTGGTCAGATGGACTCTGTCACTGCCCCTTTGATACCACAGAAAAATGGGAATGGCAGGACCTAGTGTCAAGCTCTTGTTTTACCATCAGCAAAGGAACATCTGTCAAGTTATTAAAAGCCGATAACACCTTGCTTATTGACTGAACTCTGCTAAAACCAAGAACTCCGCAAGCATTCTTCCTTTTCAACTCCTTTTTAATTCTCTGTTGCTCTATGGGTTTTGTTATAACACCTTTTTTCTGGAAATATTTTATTTGCACCATTTTGACCTTTTCAGTATTAAACCCTATATTGAAAAATGTTAAAACTGTCCCTAAGGCTTTTAATGCAAACAAAAGAATCCTCGTCTCTTAAAGAGTGCTACTGTATTACAAATCCCTGAACATACCTGTCTGTGGTGACAGTACGTGTTGCAGACGTTTATTCTAAAATCATAGTTGTTACTGATAAGATTATGAGTTTCTTCCTCCTCAGTCAAAAGGCAGTGGTAGTAGCTTAAAGAGTTAATTGCTTAGTTAACTTAACTCAGTGACAATCGCTTTCAGGCTGCTGGCACATAGATTGTGGTCTTGCAAGCTGGAAAATCTTTGTGCAGGGTGCAACTGAGAGTGGCATTGTTATGTAAGTGATAGCATTGTGCGAGACTGGCCGGTCCTTTGTCATAAGTTGGTTAGAAAGGCAGGGGTCACAACATGATCGGGAGCTCGCACCACCAGCTCCTGATCATGGTTAGAGATTGACAGCTGTGTATTTGTGTGGGCGTTAAAGCCAGCTATCTTTGCTGTTGCACATATGCATTGCCGGGGTGGCAAAAGGTTTCTGTGTTGTCTATAGCAAGCATATTTTTCCATAATCCACTGGTATTCTGGATACGTCCAGTTAGTTTTGTTGGCTCTGTCTTTTGAACTTTTAGCGATTGCAAACCTGGGATAAAGTCAGTGTTGTGCTGCTTCTGCCCTCCTCAGTCCAACTTCAGCTTATCTTAAAGTGATTCCAAACATAAACTTTTTGTAAAATAACAAACATGTTATACTTACCTGTTCTGTAATGGTTTTGCACAGAGCAGCCCTGATCCTCCTCCTCTTTTCTGGTCCCCGCCTGAACTCATGGCTCCTCACCCTTCACTCCCAAGCTGGCAGTGCGTTCATTGACACACATAGCATGGTCCAGCCCTGTCCCCCTCCCTTCCCATACTCTTTCCTCATTGGGTATGATTGACAGCAGCAGGAGTCAATAGCACAGAGCAGCCCCAATACTCCTCCTCTTTTCTGGTCCCCCGCCTGAACTCTTGGCTCCTCCCCCTTCACTTCCAAGCTGGTAATGAGTTCATTGACACACATAGCATGGTCCAGCCCTGTTCCACCCCCCCCCCCCCGTACTCTTTCCTCATTGGGTATGCCAATGGCTCCCATTGCTGTCTCTCTGTCCAATTAGAAGAGAGAGAGCTGGGAGTGCTGCTGCTCTCGTGCACAGTGCTGGATCGAAATTAGGCTCATGTAAGTATAACGGGGGGGGGGGGGGGGCTGCTTGCAGAAGGTTTTATTTCATAAAATGTAAGGGAAGGTAACCAATTTAATATTATGTTAACAATGTCCAAAAAAAATATTTTTCCCCCCTGATGTGTTGGGTTGAAAGGAGAATAACACTCTTCTAAAGCATATGTGTTCACTTTGAAATATAGTTTGGGGTAAATATACAGAGGTGTGCAAAATATGTAAATCTTGTGTTGGTAAAAATTACAGGAAAATGCATCCAAATTTGCTACCAATTTAAAGTGGACCTTCACTTAAAAGTGAAAAGTTTGCTCATTCCCCCCCACTGTAACAAAATTGGTGGTTACTTATTTTTTTTCTGGGTCCAAGTAACTTTTTGTGACAGGTTCACACTCCCACTTCCACAATTCTCACCTAGGTGAAATTACGTAAGCTTGCCTGCTCTCTGCCTGCCCGCAACCTCCTGGGACATGTCACACATCCCAGGAGACTGTGGGACCAAACTGAAAGTGCCAGGTGATCTCGCACATGCGCAGTGGGGAGCTGACTGTGAAACATCATGAAGTCACAGCCAACTCCCACATCCCACAGATGGCGGCAGATCTGTAGCCTGACTCCAGTGAAGACAGTGCTGGACTCCTGGGCTGGAAAGTGGATTGTTTTTTAAAGTCAGAGGTTACAATATTACATTTTTTACAACGGGACCAAAATTGCTCTTTAAAGCCCCATCTGTCCTAACAAAATGTAGTTTAATATATTCAGGAAGACTACAAGAGCTAAAAGGTTTAATGCACAGATCCAAGACATTGCCAAAAGAAAAAAGAAAAAAAAAATCCTGAAGGTTTCAAGTGGTTAAGGATATGCCTATAATAGAGTCTGTATGTAAATGCTGCTTACCTTTGCTTCAAAAAAGCTTTTGGCTCCTTTTACTCCCTCGATGGAGACATCAATTTCTGAAAGTCGGGCGAGAGCATGCAACCCGCTGTCTTCCTCCAGCTCCCCTGCAGCGGCTTTGCGGAAAATTAAAAGAAACTTCAAAGAGAAGAGAGAGAAAGGAGTAAGACTTATTAAAATATTCGCTGCCTGGTGATATACTGACGGAGCGACCTACTAATCAAACACACAGCATCAAAGTGCAGAGATTACATAATAAAAAGCCTGGGCCGATATTCAGAATACAGAGGGATGGCACATTAGATTTGTAAAGTCTGATGCTGGCCACACACACATCAATTGTGCATCAACTTATTCAGATTTGATTAGAGTTTCAATTACGGTATATATATTTCACATTTATTTTCCAGCTGCCAAACACACAGATTTGTTGCCTTGTCTAATGTAATCATTAGGCCTAAAATGATTTTATTAACCAGGTGTGAAAAAAACACAAAAGCAGCTCTATTTGTATATAAACACCTATACACTTCTACTATTCAGTATGTACATGATATTAGTGATTCCCATTGATCATATGACATCCAGGGAAAAAACGCTATCAGTGGGCTGAATGGGATGGCATTCTTCCTCCCCGCTGACAACCAATGACAGCAGTGTCTGAATTCTCTCGTGACTCCCGAACAGATGATTCCATGCAGTGCTGGCAGGGGATTGGAATAACGTACAATCTGGCTTTTGAGCAGAAAAACCTCTGCTGACTCAAACCAACAGCAGCAAATTCTGACCTTGTCAGTTCACTTTCAGCCATCAGACTAGAAACCTTCCATAGCATTAGGCTTGTCCTTTGTGCTCCGAGGATTCCTGTATTATCGTAGCACGCAGAAGTCTTTAAAAGCAGATGGTAGATTATGCAACCTCTATACTTCCCACAGAGAACGATTTATCATATTTTGCAAGTGTCATAATAAATATTGAGGCTGACATTGTGAAAATGCCAGTTGCCTGGCCATTATAATGATCAGCCAAATTGAGAGTATTCACTTCCCCATAATGTTGTGAAAATGTGGGTGCTTTTGATGCAATTTTGCTATTGTGGAGGAAAGTACTGGAGTTCTGCAGGGATTTTGAGATGGTTTAGAGCACATCCAGTTGGTCAGTGTGGGGTACATGACAATTTGGCCAACTGAAATGCTCTGATCCCCAGAAGCCTTACAGAAAGAAGTGGAAAAAAGAGCAGGGATTTCAGATCCCCAGACTACTGCATCACCAAATGGGCACTGACAGCTCTTCATCCACACAGGTAAGTACAGGGGCTACAAGGAAGTGGCAGGGGTTGGGGAGGATATACGGTGTTCGTTCACCTTTGCATATTTTCTGCAAATGTGAGCTAACACTTTAATGTATTTATGACCACGTACGTACTTTCTGAAGTGACGATATACTCTGTAAGGCTCAATATAATACATATCTAATTTTTAATTAAGAAACACAATTCATTTTTGATCATTTTTTAACAGTTGGAAGCACCTGTCACGACCTAGGGCAGGCATGCCTACATAGCACATCTCACAATGCACATATTTGCCTGTAATCAAGCTTTATATGGTCACCTTTATGGCTACACAGATGACCTTGAATTTGGTCTGTGATATTAACCATTTTTGTACCTGGTACACCTACACAAGAAGCAGTGTATAGTACAATATAAAAGATTACAATAGTAACAAACACTTCATTGATTTAGAGCACACAGGAACACGCCTGACACAGTGGAATGTTGGGAATGTTTCATTAACTAGAGATTATTCAACATTCCACCTGCCCTATGGTGTATTAGAAGCTATTAGATACAATAAATGTGTATTCATTCTAATAGGGTTGTCTAAGATGCTCACTGTATCATAATTAGACTACAAAAACATTTTTGTCCATTGAGGTCAACTTTAAAAAAAAAAAAAACTTATAAAAAAATCTGTAGAATCTATAGTTTTGGGTGATTCTGGTATTTTCATGCAAGTGGAAGGCACAGGTGTACACCCTTTGAAACGCGTCAGCTGTACTGAATATCCATCCCCTTGATGGGATTCTCGCTGTCTTCAAGTCCCTTTGAGGACTTACATGCCTGATTTTATTCGCTGTTTGTGAGTATATTTTTATAATTAATACATTTTGGTTATTGAGGTAATGCGCAAGGTTGGTGCGCTTCTCGTTTTCATTTCGTTCTGCAGTATTGGTCGGGCTTCCCCAGCCTTGTTTGGAGCCGCACAACCCTACATGCATTGGTGGTTGATTTTTCCAGGTCTGGTTCCATCCATTCGCCACCTGTCTGGGTCCTAGAGCGCAGGAGAATTTGTTTTTGATTTAACATTTTTTGGGGAACTCTTCTCCCTATGTACATGTATCGAGTATGAGTTTCGGTGACCACACCCACCAATTTTTACTTATGTTTTTTATGGGTGAGTCAGCGATCATATGGTAACCGATATTACTACTGGATGATTTTGAATTTAACCCCTCCTATATCCCCATAGTGACATTCATCCATGTTACCCTGCTGTGTGGTGACATGTGGTGCCATCCAGTGCAGTGTGGAAAAAATGCGGACAATATTGCGTTGCATTGCAAAATGCATTGCTGTGTAAACAGGGCACATAGATGCCAATTGTTTTCTGTGTGCTTTAGTGGTGACCTGAATTTATCTAGTGCAAGAAAACACAGGTCACCGCCAGGGGTGGACTGACAATCATGGGGCCCCCGGGCAATAGGGGATCATGGGGCCCCTGTGTCCTTGCCCAAACTCAAAAAAGCCTATAAAAAAGGTACCAGGGGCATCTCATGGGGCCCCCTACTGACCCCCGGCCCCTCAGGCAGTGCCCAAGTTTCCAAATGGTCAGTCCGCCCCTGGTCACTGCACGTAGTAGTATCAACAAACCCCAGTTGGTCAGTCCATCCAAAATGAATACTTCAAATCTGTGATTCAGATGGCAGAAAGCTAAGACAACTGACATCTCTATGCTGAGTTCCTGGGTCTGCACACCTGCTGTGATCATTATAAAGGGCTCCCGCTTTGGGTGTTTTATTCTCTATATTATGGTAACTATAAAAATACACAATGGGTGGGAACACCAACAATCCCCAGGTGGACAGGGACAAAGTTGGGAATGAAGTCATCCAGATGTCACTGTTGGGATTATCCTAGACATAAAAGAAGACAGGGCTGACTCAGCCCACCAGGTTCCTTATGTCACTAAAGATCACATTGTGGGTAGAGTGACCCTCTATAATGGATTGTATCAGTATTACTGTTTTATATGTTAGATGTTGGAACTGATGTCATCCGCCTTCCAGTAAAGACATCTCCCAGTCGTTTATATTTCACAGCATATAACGGCAGTAATAAAAGCCTCAGTGACTTGTAATGTGACATTCTAGTAAAACCTGCTCTTCATTCTAGTCTAGTACTTACGAAGACTCAAGACCTCTGACTCACCTCCCTGAAGCTCAGTTTTCCATCAAAGTCTTCATCTACTTCTTTAATCATGTCCTTAAGGCCCAGGTGGGTTTGCGGCGCTCCAAGCTTCTCCATCATCAGCTTCAGCTCCATCAGATCTATGAAGCCGTCCTTACCAGCATCGTACCTGTTAGACAAGATCAAATACAACTCAAGTTCTCACCACTGCAGGGATACTGTATACAGATGTTCTGCCCTATGTTCTATATGAAACGAGTTCAGATTGGCAAAACAGAACTTAGCCAGTAATACCTAAAAGGGTAAAGATGAATTCCAGGCAAACAGCTAAATACAGCTAGATAATGGTGATGTAGTACTTACCCAAGGGTTTATATATGTGTCTATCCAGTTCCAAGATTAACACAGCTCTGCCCCAGAGCACAGCCCCAGGTGTTTTTTTTTTCTGCTGTTAGTTAACACTTGCAGGTCTTTTCCCTCCTTCAGTCTGTAATTGGACAGTTCAAGGAGAGGCAGAGAATAATGAGCTCATCTTTCTGTCACTCTGATGGGGGCCCTGATGTAAGGAGTACTCTGATGGGGTCCAGATGGAAGGACTCGGATGGGGAACCCAAAGTAAGGGGAGACTCTGATCAAGGCCATGATGTAAAAAAGACTCTGATGGGGACCCTGATTTAACCACTTGCCCTCCTGAGGATTTACCCCCTTCATGACCAGGCCATTTTATGTGTTATGGCGCTGCGATCTTTTAACTGACAATTGCGCAGTCATGCAACACTGCACCCAAATGAAATTTACGTCCTTTTTCCCCACAAATTGAGCTTTCTTTTGGTAGTATTTGATCGCCTGTGCATTTTTTATTTTTTGCGCTATAAGCAAAAAAAGACCGACAATTTGAGAAAAAGAACAATATTTTGGACTTTTTGCTGTTAAACATGTCCAGTAAAAAAAATAAAAAAAATCTAATTTTGTCATAAATTTAGACCAAAATGTATTCTGCTACATTCTATGTCTTTGCTAAAAAAAATCCCAATACGTGGAAATTAATTGGTTTACATAAAAGCTATAGCATTTACAAATGACGGTATAGATAATGGGATTTTTTTTCCACTAACGGTGGCGATCAGTGACTTTTAGCAGGACTGCGGCGGACATTCTGACACTGGGGGGGAACTAATTTGGTGTCACTGACACCCCAGTGACACCAATACAGTGATCAGTGCTAAAAAAAAGCACTGACACTGTACTAATGACACTGGGCTGGAAGGGGTTAATGTGAGGGGCGATCAAAGGGTTAACTGTTTGCTGGGAGAGTTTTACTAGGGGACGGAAGGTGTGTTCTCCACTATAAGCACACTGATCGGGATGGTTGTGCTGTGCACAGCCATCCCGAGCAGTGTGCTAGAGCTGACAGGGAGGAAGATTGTTTATAAACAAAACAATCTTCCTCCCCGTTTCAGTAATCACCGGGCGCAGGCAGGTAACTACCGGCTGGGACCCGGTGATTGACATCTACAGCCGCAAATGGCAGCGCGTTTAGGGAGCGTGCACGCCCCCTACCCGGAAATGCAGAATGATGTATAAATACGTGATTCTGTGCACAGGTGCCGTCCTGTAGCAGTATATCTGCTATAGGGCGGTCCTTAAGCGGTTAATGAGGACTCTGATGGGGACTCTAGTGTAATAACTCTGATGGGAAGCCTTTTGTAAACAAGGACTCTGATGGGGACACTGATGTAAGGAGGACCCTGAAGTAAAGGGGACCCTGATGGAGACTCTATGGGGAACTCTGATAAGGACCTGGACATAAGGGGGAATGTTGATAGAGACCCTGATATAAGCGGGGGACTGTGAAAGACATTTTTTAGGCCCACAAATATTTGCACAATATGCATTGTGGCCCTCTTAGGGCAATCTCACATTGCCGCGCTGCGGTGTGGCCGCAATATGGGTGTCTCAGCGTACCCGTGTTTTTTGTGTGGGTTACCTGTTGATTCCCATATATTTCTATTAGATTGCTTGTTTTTTGTACATTTGCTGAAAATGCACCAAAAATCCTGCATGCTACATCTTTGGTGTGCTTTCAGAAAACGCACCAAAAAACACACGATCCAATAGACGTCAATGGAAAACTCTGGGTAACTCACACAAAAACTATGGGTACACTGCGCTGCATCCGTGCTGCGGCCAAACTGCAGCAACACATTGTGAAACTGACCTTACTGAAATGTTTGGAGACTCCTGGTCTATTCCATCATTCTTATAGATAAAGGTCTACAAGAGATCAGCTTGGTGAAAATATCCTTACCAGTGTCTCTGTATGATTTGTAAGGATATACAGTACTGTACACAGGAGATATTTAACGTATACTATATCCTCACTACCAGGCTATCTATACCGAAAATATGTGAATTAAATTAAATCAGCCGTACGCAGTACTCCAAATTACAATATCTACACATAAGGAAATATATAAACATATGTAGACCAGTGCATGTGAATACCAAACGTGTAGAAAGAACCCAACGTCCCAAATGTAATTCATGTGACTTGTCATTGTGAAACGATATGTCACCAAAAACAAAACGTCACCAAAAATGAAAACGTCACCAAAATCGTCATCCACCAAAGTGAGTCTCACCAAATGAAAGCACCCTTTGTGACAAAGCTCCCCCACCATCAGAAAGGCGCACTCACCAAGTTGGACCTCAGATTATAAAGGTCATATGGCACTTAATGCATTCCGAATCCAGGGCAATCCCGCTGTATACACATCTCTCACACTCGCTCCATCAATGCAGAGATACACGCAATGCAAAATGGCCATCTAATAGTACATTACCCCTTTTACTGTAAAAAAAATCAGTAGGCCTCATTCACATAATTAAGCAGACATCTGTGCGAAAGGGCCACCTTCGCCTGCACAGATGTTCCATGCATCCACGTGTAGGCAGTCCTGTGCATGTCTATTGGGATGCAGCGGCTGCATGGAAACAGCTGCTGGGCCCAATTTGACAGATGTGCAGGTGCGGGGGCTTGTCCCCGAATGTTCACTGTCTGTTTTCAGTGACACATACTTGCACCTGCACAGATGTCAAATTTGGCTGTGTGCAACCTGTGCAGACAAAGTTAGCCCTTTGCACAAATGCACGCGAGTGTTACTAAACCCACAACAGTAAAATCAGTCTGTATATGCAGTAAAGCATGTTTGTTATACTCACTGTGGAGCCTTAGGGGTTAATCCTCTGCATTGTGTAAAAAAGATGTTTAACCCTGTCTTCTCTGATCCTCCTCTTCTTCTACTATCCCCAATCCATCTGCTGATAGAACAGAGCCTTGGGGGCTAGCTGCACATGCTCAGTTTAGTGTGTACTGCTTTAGGTTTTTTTTTTCCTTGGGAGCGTGCATGTGATCAGCATTGGACCAATCAGCACTGTCCATACAGAGGGTCAAGGGTCCTATAGCCTCATGGGACAATCAGGGGAGAATGAAAACTCCTGCTGCAAGCTTTACCAATGCTCTGCTGAACACTGATAGAAGTCACAAGACTATTCTAAATGCTGAACAAAAAGGTATTTAACAGTTTGTATTTACTAAAATAATTGCATTTCCGTGTTCTGTGTACTGTGGGAGACCTGATATAGTGAATGCAGGGTCCGGGGTTTAGTAACACTTTAAGTACACCTATGTGAATGAGGCCTTAAAATCATCCACAAACCTAAACTCACATTTAAAAAGTGTACACAGCATTATGAATAAACAGTGTGCGCGCTCAACAAACCTTGTTCCCATTTTGTCAACTCACACACTCTGGATCAGTCTCAGTCCTCGTTCATACTGATGCGGTGCGGAATTTGCAGCATTTTCTGTGCAAATTCCACACCGCATCAGAATCGCACCCCGTTCATGTGAACTGCTGTAGGTGTGTATGTTAAAAATGTGGTGCGATGTGCAGAATCGGATCACATATGTGTGAATACCCATGCGATCCGATTCTAGCACGGACCAAAAAAAGGGTCCCGCACCTTTTTGGTGTGGGTGCGGTGCGATTAGAGCCATACAAAATGTATGGCTCCAATCGCACCGCACACAAATTGCATGTGATTTGCACAGGAATGTGGTGCATTTCCTTTCCAATCACATGAGATATACTGCACTGCATATATGTGAACCCAGGATTTAAGTGGATTGGGAGTCACGCCCCAACATGATGGTGTCACCTGTTTAGTTCTGTCCAACGTGCTTTGTTGATATGACTTCACCAATATGACTTCAGTACTGACCTATTACTTTGTTTGAGCAGGCTTCCGACAATCTCCTCTCTGCTCTGCAAGTGGGTCCTCGACGTTCTCACATACAATGCGGGATGACTGGAACTGCATTATGTGTCATGGTGTCAGAGTACAACCACTGGCCAGAGCACCAAAGAGAAGAGACTTTGGGAATTGGTCACCCAATGTGGAGAACGTCTGCCACACTGAGGAATAGGGTGAGTATTACAACCCATTCCTCTACCCCAGTGGTTCAGGCGTTAAGTACATGCAACAGGTCATGCCTTCAGGATTTCCTTCATCTAGCACAAGTGCTTTAAAGTGGTTGTAAAAGCTAAAGGTTGTTTACCTTCACGCATTCTCTGCATTAAGGTAAAAGACCTTCCATGATCAGCTCCCCCTCCCATCCCAATACTTACCTGAGTCGCATCTCCATCCAGTGCTGTGCAAAAGAGCAGCTACACTGCTCCTTCTCTCTATTAGCTACACTGCTCCTTCTCTCTATTAGCTACACTGCTCCTTCTCTCTCTTAGCTACACTGCTCCTTCTCTCTCTTAGCTACACTGCTCCTTCTCTCTATTAGCTACACTGCTCCTTCTCTCTATTAGCTACACTGCTCCTTCTCTCTTAGCTACACTGCTCCTTCTCTCTATTAGCTACACTGCTCCTTCTCTCTGTTAGCTACACTGCTCCTTCTCTCTCTTAGCTACACTGCTCCTTCTCTCTCTTAGCTACACTGCTCCTTCTCTCTGTTAGCTACACTGCTCCTTCTCTCTATTAGCTACACTGCTCCTTCTCTCTATTAGCTACACTGCTCCTTCTCTCTTAGCTACACTGCTCCTTCTCTCTATTAGCTACACTGCTCCTTCTCTCTATTAGCTACACTGGTCCTTCTCT